CGTCACCAGAACATTGTTAAAACGATTTACCCTTCAATCCTCTCACTGAACCTCGTAAAGCTTCCTTAAATTCTTCATTCCTAAGAGTATATATCAGAGGATTTAGCATAGGTATTAGTATACTGTAGAAGACCGAGGCCACGCGATCTTGATGTAGAACATAGCTCGTAGATGGTCGAAAATACATGAAGAGGACAGTCCCATAGAAGATAGTGACGGCTGCCATGTGAGAGACGCATGTTTTAAAAGCTTTATACCTTCCTCGAGCCGTGCGAATCCTCAAAATGGTGAGAACAATGTAGGTGTATGAGACTAGAATAAGTATAAGACAACCTAGAGTGCTTAGACCTCCTAACACAACCAGAACAACAAGGTTCACCGATATATCAGAACAGGATAGCTTGAAGAGTGGTGGGATGTCACAGAAAAAATGATCAATGACATTGGACCTGCAGAAATTCAGATGGAAGACAGAAACTGTGTGGACAAGGGCTGTGAGAAGACCTTCAAGGTAGGCAGCAATCAACAGCCGGAGACTCAAGATGTTATTCATGAGGACACTGTACGTGAGTGGACTACAGATGGCGATGTAGCGGTCATAAGCCATGAGCCCTAAAATAAGACAGTCTATGGTCGCAAAGGACACAAACATGTACATCTGTAGGGCGCTGCCGACAAACGAGATAGCCTTGGCTTGGCTCAAAAAGTCTCTCAACATTTTTGGGGTAACGGATGAGGAATACATGAGGTTAACAAAGGAGAGGTTGCTCAGAAACAAGTACATGGGCTTGTGAAGATGTCTGTCTACCCAGCTCACAGTGATAATACCAAAATTACAGACCACAGTCGTGACATAAATATGAAGGAATATTATAAACAGAGGAATGTTAAGTTTGGTCTTGTCAGTGAGGCCCGTGAGGATGAATTCCATCATGGAAGTCTTGTTCATCTTAAGATTTGAATATGGTATGTACCTGTTTGAGTAGAAGAGAGTAATTCCATATCAATACATGTTTCACATTGTAACTTTTAGGGCAGTGGTTCTCAGCCTGTGGGTCGTGACCCAAAAGTGGGTCGCAACCTACAGTTGAGGGGGTCGCCATGTGCCTTGTGCTGTGCTAAGTAAGAGACTCCTCAGCCTCCTCCTAGTGCAGCAGTGTCAGTTCTCCTAGATGGTGCTGCAGCAGCGGAGGGGATCTGAAAGAGGGAATTGGGCAGGAGTGAGGGGAGGTGAGTGCCACTAGCCACCTGAGAGCCCACTCAGATACTAGTATTGGTGCACCCCTAAATTTTACCATTGGGGGTCACCACAACATGGAAAATGTTACCAAGGGGTTCCGGCCCTGGAAAGGTTGAGAACCACTGGTTTAGGGTATTTAAGGATCCTTAGCCAGGCCTTTTTGGAACATAACAACTTTGGAAGAGAATAAACAGTACAACTTAAATTGCTTCTTTTCAGCAAACAAACATAAACAGGGTGTATCTTCCAGCAACATCCAAGATTTGGCTCAGCAGCGGTATCATGTCCCACCTCAGGGTTAGAGCCTCAGCCGGCTCATGGCCAGACACCTAGCAGCTTCATACCTCCCTGGTTGACGACGGTCCTTCCGACCTTTCCAAACACACCTCATGTGCCACGGACCCTCCTGGCCTCGCCCACACACAGCGTGTGCCACAGGCCCTCTCGTCCTCTCCAGCCAGACTCCAGCTTGGTGTCACGTGCGTCACTTACACACAGTCTCCCACGCTCTGCATGTACTCCTGCACCACTGACTGCCTCTTCCTCTCTGTCCACTCTCTTAATAGGGTTGTTATCAGCCACCTGGACAGTCTGGTCTGGCAATTGGCTGCACCTGGCCCCAGGACTGGAGATTTTATCCCGCCCAAGACTCTTAGAAATCTCCAGAGACCCAGATCCCAGTTGTACACCAGAAAACGCGGAAAGAACTGGAAACCCAGCTCCTTTCCTGTAACACTATGGGGTCTATTCACTAAGCTGCCGTAGGCAGCCGAGTGAATAAACGACCCGAAGTGTAGTGAGCTGACCGCTGTAGCTCGCAGTATACTGAGGATAGGGTGACGGGAGGACGCTAGTTTGTGTCCTCCCGTTACCCTAAGGAGAACTATGGGGAAAAGCCCTGACCCCATAGTTCTCCTTTAACTGTTGCAGTGCATGATTAGCCCCACTGCAAGGGGAAGGTTTTTTTTGCCCATGTTCTTCTTTAAAATGAACCTGTTGCTTTGTCCTACATGGACGAAGCTCATATTTGCGTCAAAAATAGTCTGAAAACACAATAAAGATATAATAAACAATAAAACATTCTTTTAAAAAAAGACACATAGAAAATAAAAGCAAATAAGTAACTTTTGAGTTTTGTTTTTCTGGATTACCCTTTGAAATGGTCTGGTAACTCGCCTGGAAACTGTTTTAGCAGATCTGTAGATGTCCTTCTCTGCTTGTGCTATCCAACGACTCATC